GCACAAGCAGCACCAGCACCACTACATCCGTCAGCAGCAGCACAACAACCTCGAGAACAATCAGCACCACATCGAGCTCCAGCTCCACTTCATCAACGTCGACCAGCACCAGCACAATCAGTTCAAGCGTCACTTCATCAAGCACCACCTCCATCTCGAGCACCACGATAAGCAGCACAACCTCCAACACTGCGTCAACGACTAGAACCAGCAGCACAAGCAGCACCAGCTCCACCACATCTGTCAGCAGAAGCACAACCACCATAACAGAAAGCAGCACAACAACCTCGAGAACAAGCAGCACCACAACAAGTTCCAGCTCCACTTCTGCAACGTCCACCAGCACCAGCACAACCAGCTCAAGCGTCACCTCCACAAGCACAACCACCACCTTGAGCACGACAGTCAGTAGCACAACCTCCAAGACTACGTCCACGACTAGCACCATCAGCACCAGCAGCACGAGCAGCACCAGTTCCACCAAATCTGTCAGCACCAGCACGACCACAGTAACACAAAGCAGCACAACAACCTCGAGCACAAGAAGCACCACATCGAGCTCCAGCTCCACTTCTGCGACGTCCACCAGCACCAGCACAACCAGCTCAAGCGTCACCTCCACAAGCACAACCACCACCTTGAGCACGACAGTCAGCAGCACAACCTCCAAGACTACGTCGTCAACCAGCACAAGCGGCACAAGCAGCACCAGTTCCACCGTATCTATCAGCAGCAGCACGACCACTACCACAGAAAGCATCACAACATCCTCAAGAACAAGCAGCATCACAACTACCAGTACTGCCACCACTACCACGTCAACGTCCACGAGTCAAACTACCACAAGTGAAACCTCCACAGTGACATCGTCCACAACGAGCAGCACCACTAGCAGCACCACGTCGATATCCACATCGACTGCCAGCACCTCGAGCACTCGCAGTAGCAGCGCCACGAGCACTTCCAGAACAACCACAGTTTCCACGTCTACCACGGCAACCACCACCAGCCAGACCACCACCAGCCAGACCACCACCAGTGCCACTGTGACAAGCTCTAGCTCCACTACTGAGACGCTCACAAGCACTAGCTCCAGCACAAAGACTGTCAGCAGCACGTCGACGTCTTCATCCTCGTCCTCATCGAGCAGCACAACAGTTACCACCACCAGCTTCACTGCAACCAGCTCCAGCAGCGTGAGCTCAACAAGCACAAGCGCCAGCACCAGCAGCTCAAGCAGCACAATCAGCAGCCAGACCTCCACCCACACGACCGTTACTACCAGCTCTTCCGCAACAAACACCACGACAACCACATCCGTATCAACTTCTACAACCTTCACCACCACCGTATCCAGCAGCTGAGTCACGCATTGGAGGGGGAAGGGAAATTGAGCTTGGAGGCGGTACCAAGGTCAAAGATCCTTTTTCTTTGGCAAGGTGCAGTGGTTGGCCAAGATGTTTTCTCGGGCTCCAATTTGTCACCCTCTTTGGGCCCGTTAGCCCAGGCGTCTATAAGTCATGTTGTGTTTGTGTGTGTGTGCGGTTAAAGTTTGCGTCTTCAGTGGAACCGTTCGCACCTAACAGCTTGCAAATTAATCCCAGGGAGCCTGCCATCACATTTGGGCTGAGAAGCTGCCATGTCACTCCCTTATTGACCCTGTACAGCAATTAAGTTTGATTTGTTTGGAGTCTTTGAAGTCATGTTGGTGGGAAATGCTGGGAGCATCCTTTCTAGATGCTCGTTGCCTTTGTGGGGCCGCTCGATGTCGCCAGAGGACGCAACCTAGATGTTTATTGGCGAGTTAGCGATGGAAAAAAACAGTTTGCCGAGAAAACTGGACCCCCAACCCCTTCCACCAATTGCTTTCTCAGGAAATGGTTTCCATTAAGCACCAAGCCGGATTCATGTTCCGGCAAATTCACATACTTCTGGTTGCGGACTCTCTCGACAACACATCATTGCACGTCACAGGCCCAGAAGTGCACACCGAAACAACGAATCTCCTGGTGGGGAAGCATGTTTTCGTGCTGGTGTTGGGCGTCCGCTTGTTTTGAGGCTGAAGTAAGTCTTGTGTCCAGGGAGCTCTTCCCAACTCACGGCTAGATGCAGTTCATTGGTTGCTTGGGGTTTGTCCCGGCACGTTACCAACGGTTCCCAAACCATCAAGAATCAAGCTTCAACAACTCCCAGGCTGCAGCTATGCACCGAGTCATGCTGTTTGAGAAAACTCGTCTCAAGAGTTTCTTCCGGAACTTGGTCAAGCTATCGGCGTGCTCCCGCGCTAGAAACATCTCTGGATTGGTGTCAGCTTGTGGCCACTTCACCGCAGAATGTATCTTCATGAATTCGGGCTAGACAATTTGTCACGCAAACTGCTGCTAGGAACTCTTGGCGGATATCGGCGGCCTCCACTTGTTTTACCCCCTCACTCCCTGAGTTCATGGATTTGAAGCGTTGTGGTAAATGACAAGTTTAGACTTTTTCTTGGCCATCCATTTTGGAAGTGAGCCTCAGCTTGCATGGGTTATTTTGGTTGTCGACCAGAGGTTGAAGCAGGTTGAAGCCGACACTGGCTGCTTTCGATTCCAGCTTAGGCACAACACTTTCTACCACAAGCACGCAGTCCACGACGCTTGCCAGGGACCGTTTTTGTTCTTTGTTGATGTGCTTGCTGATTCTGCACAGCAACTTGGGGTTCACTTCCTTGTTTCGTGCGGACTCATGCTTGCTTAGCTGCTGTTCCCTGGCCTTCTTCGGGATGGCTTTTAGCATCACAGTTCTCCTTGCTTGAGACCTCGGATGTCCTTGACTTGCTGCAGGCCTGGCTGGGTTTATATCCGTGTGTGCGAGGAATGCGTGTGTTTTGGCAATTTTGTCTGGTAAGTCACTACAACACTAAAGCATCATGAACATAGCGCAGGTACCGACAACATGTGCAGCATGATTTCCTGTCACAGGGAGGCGTATGGTCAACGTGGCCGGCGTGGGCTGGGGCGGGGGGGGGGGTGGGGGGGGGGTGAATGTCCCTCACAATTGAGTGGCCGCCTGGGGATTGCCACTCTGCCACTCACCAAGCAAACAAGGGGAACAGAAAACGCGGTCTTTGCACGCACGGCTTTTGAATCGGTGGCCCAGAAGCTGGGCAAGTTGTCAGCTTTGCACTGCTCTGAAGTTCTTTGTCGCCTTGGGGCGCAAGCTGCAGCTTTGCACCTCGAAACTTTGTGTAGGGAGTTGTTGCAGACAGGAAACCCAATCGATATGGCAGGGTGTTGTGTTTTGACGAAAACTGTTGTTTGTGTTGTGTTTTTTCTTTTTCTGTTTCTTCCTTTTTTTCTGAGGTTTTTTGTGACAGCGGTTCCCGTGTGTGTATTGCTGATGTGCCAATTCCTCGTCTCAGTGGCTTGTGTTCGCTAAACCACACAAACCAGCCCATAACCCAACCGACATCAACCGACTCAAAGTCAACCTGAAACCCTCCGAACAGCATCACGGATATCGGCCTTTACCAAGCCTAAATGAACCCCAAACAAACCCAAGACCCGCCCTCATTCATTATACAAGACCTCGGCGAGCCACCCCCGAGCAACTCTGTACTGCCACCAAATCAAAGCCAATAGGCAGCCCTTGTCCAAGCGGGGCTGGTGATGCTGGGGATGACCCGATCCCCAACCTGGCCAACTAGGCCCCCAGAAAATACCGCCTCCTGCCCCCAACCTGAGAGCGAAACAAACATGATTTTCAGACTTGCAAGAGTTTCACGGCGGCGAGACACCCGGCTGCCTTGTTTTTGTACGTGGGCGTGCGGGTGCGCATGTGCGCCTTTGAAGGCTTCAAGTGGAAGCGGGATTTAATTAGTTGTGCGGGTTGCGCAGTACTGTAGTTAGGTTAGTTTGTGCGTTTCGTTTTGCACGGTTTGTATTTCCGTTTCTGTTGTGATTGATCTGCGTGTTGGTGGTGCCGTGTTGTGTGTTTTTTTTCTTCGTTTTTTTCTGGGTAGCTGAAAGCTGCAGGGGTCTTATCGGAGGGCTTCGCAGGGAGGCGCCCCTGGTTTTGACAACTGCAATGCTTCGCCTCTTTGCTGTTTGTGCTGGTGTTTAAGTTTTGGTGCATTTTGCCAAGGGATGTTAGGACTGAGCAACTTTTTGCCAACTAATGGGTTTTCCACTAAACCACTAAAAGTTAAACTTCTAGCAGGGGAGCAGAAAGCAACCGAGTTTTAAGTCTCAGTCCGCGTCTTTGTCTTTGTGTGCGGGCATGCAAGCTACGTGCCAGTTGCTGCACGCGCGCGTGCGAAGGGTAGGCTGGCTAAGCCTAAGCCCTCGCTGATGGTCAATGGTTGTCCACGTTGGGCTCGCTAGTTCATTCTCGGCGTATCTGAGAAGCACTACCAGCTCTAGCAGCACCACATCTTCCTCAACCACGGCGCAGGGTTTCTGGTGCCGCCGCTTCTACGGCGTGAGTGCAGCTGAAAGCGGCGAGTGTCGGGCACCGGAAGGTGTAGAGGCTGACCAATGTGGCTTGGCGGCAATGGACTCGTGTTCTAAATCGGTTGGATGCGCTGCTGGGGTCATAGGCTTGAGTTCATGGGGGCTTGTGAAAGTCAACTGGGTGTTCCCGTTCACCGACTTAGGGGGTGAGAATGGGAGGAGTGGCTGGTGTAAGCCCATGGGTCCGTGCTGGCGTGGCAATCAAGCAGGCCTTCGCAGGAAGGCCCCACTCAAGCTGTTTTGCACCTGCTGAGGCCAGTTCTGGCCAGCATTGCATAAGGGATGCTAAGGCGACGAATTGAACATTCGAATGCTTTGGCGAGTTGCGGCCGGCAAGTGAAACACGTCTCGACATTGGTGTCTCAAAATGAAGGGAGGTTTGGATGGGTGGTTCCCCCCCTGGTTCTTGTAGGGGCTAACATGGGGGACACCACCCCGCCAGCTCCTAACCACCGGGCTCCAAACCATTGAGCGGAGGGAAGCTGATTTGAAGCACGCCTCATATGTCAGGCCTGGCCACAGCTCACGCCCCACCACGCTGTGGGGGTCAGCTGCTGTGCCCCTCGGAGTTTCTCAGCGGCGGCAGCTGCCGGACCTGCGCAACGGTGTATTTGCAGGCGCGCTTCTTTGGGCATTAAATTGTGTGATGTGAGCGAAGCAGCTTGACCAATCACAGGCTTCTGAGTCTTGCAAGCTTATGCTGCCTGAAAATTCACAGTCTTGGGTGCTTTCGCGCCTCAGATGGTCCAGATATTGGCAGGTAGGGATGTGCAGCCAACGCCTTCACTCATGGTTGGATCTTGTTGATGCCCATGTGGCCGAGAGGTAGACGACGACTAAACCTAGTCCGCCGCCCCATTCTTGAAAGTTTCATGTGCACTGTTTGAGGGACAAGCCGTCTTTTTTTCAACGCGGAAGGTAGTGATCGGTGCTTGTTGCGATGGTCCAATCATATTCACGCATCAAACACCTCCAATTTGGGATATCCAATGGCCCACTGCCTCAATGGACATGGTGCATGTCGTGCCGAATGGCAACCTGTTCATACTTGGTCATTTTGGACATCCCCAGAATTTCTGTCTTGACACCAAGCCTGCCATGAGCCGGATTTTCCTTAATGACTTTGGCCTCGCGGGAATGCTGCACCTCTTTCGTCGCATTTGGAAGGGGCCTCCCAAGAAATCCTCCAGGTGCCTTGGGCATAGGAGTAGTATGTTGGAGTGGGCCCAGAGTGAGCCGTCCAGCTGTCGAGGACTGGGGCGACTCCTACCGGATTTCAGGGCTGCTCCAGTGGGCTCCTCTTGCGGATGGGGTAGATGGATATGAGGTGTGGGTGATTGATGCTTGGCAGGTTGGCCTTGGGGACTGGGCTTCGGCCTCTGGTTGAGCAAGAAGCTACTAGATCAACCATGTAGATGTGCCTTTTTGCCAGAGGGCTTGAACCTGTTTGAGCAGCCTTGTTATTCAGCGCTGTTGGGAAGCAACTGCATTATTTCCGTGTGGTTTTTTTCAGTGTCCCCTGTTCCGCTGGTCCACTTTCCTCGCCACACAATGCAAACAAGTATTTGACAGGCAATGGATCAGCTGACCTCGGCTCCCAACTCGAACAAGTGTCACGAATTGAACCGACTGCGGGGTTTAATGCTACCTGGGGGGCCAATGGCAAAAGGAGTCACAGAGTTGAAGCTCAACTCTTTGGTGGAGGCCACACCGCCAACAAGAAAGAGCATGCGCATTGCGGGTGGCATTTGTGACCGGCGACATGCCAACATCATTGCAGGATCCATTGATTTCATTGTGTGCATGTGTGTTGGCGGTTTTGTTCGGATGCTGTCATGCGCCTGTGAATTCTGAGGATGACTGCGGGTCGCTTCTGGTACTGCTTGGCTTCGTGCCAGCGGATGGAGAGCCGGTTGCCATTCAGTGCTGCGATCCCAGCTGGTACTTTTTGGACGTCAGCAGCGAGATACCTTACGTGCCTTTGGCTTCTTGCATGTTGATCCGCTTTTTGAGAAGCGTGGCATGGGACAGCCTATGTCCGTCCGAGTTTCACGTGGTTTTGCAATGCCTCACTCAGGAGTCGGTGGGCTTTGCAATCATCCCTCTGCAGGCTGGGGTAAGGAAGGTCTGCTTGCAATCGAAGTCACGCTGAATGAGTTGCTTTGTAGAAGGAAACCTGTGATAACCCGAAACGTGGGAATTGCCAGCCATCCCCGTATGTTTTTGTGCTTTTAGGGTTTAGTGGGGGCTTCCATTTAACCCCCTAAAAGTTAAGCTTTTAGCAGGAGATCTGAGGACAGCCCAGGAAATCAAGCCGCATTTTTGCGAACTTGCAAATCCTAGCTTTGAATTGTGGCCCCTTCTTACTGTACACCTTGTACAGATATTTGGTCAGCCCGTCTTTGAGTTGGGAAGCTGCTTTCGGTGGCAATACATGTTTGCACTTATTGTAATGCGGATCCTTCAGTCAATCTATGGGACATATTACATACTCACTTGCCCAAAGACAACCTTCTGAACTTTTGGTTTTACCATGATGTTGATCCATATTTAGTCAAGGTCTCAAAAGGTGATCACCTTTTCTTTCTTGGCTTCTGGGGCAAATGTGCACATACATGTGTATATATATATATATGTGTGTGTGTGTATGCATGTATATATATATAGACTACTACTACCACCACCACTTGTTTTTTACCACCACCGCGACTACTACTACTACTACTACTACTACTACTACTACTACTACTACTGCTACTACCACCACAGGCAGGTGTTTCTCTTGGACGTGCTTTTTCCCAGGGAGAGGAGTGGCTTTCCGGCGCTTTGCTTCCCATTTTGAACCGCCCGGGCGCCCAGTCCTTGACCCGAGTTTCAAAGCCCCAAACCCTTGGGGTTTGGCTTTGGACATGCTTAAGAGCAGTTTTTTATCTCTCACTCCGAAAGGAAGGATTCTTCCATGGCCTTGGTGGATTTCATCTCCGCAAAGTTTCCTTGAGCCTTGGGGGAGCGTCCATTTCTCCCAAGGGCGGTTGCATGCTCAAGATATCTCAAGATGCTTGTGAAGAGAATGAACCAGGCCTAAATCGAAATCATTTGCTTGAGTGGCAGGTATGGCCGAATTCAATTCATTTGCTTGAGTGTCGTTGCAGGCATGGTCCTGAACCTGCGCCGGTTGATACGCAAGCATACCCCACACCCTTAGTCAGGCCAATTGCTCAGCAGGTGCAGTCTCAGAAAACAGCCTCTCCATAGCCCGAAACCCCAGAAATGAGCATGTGAATCATTCCATGTTTGACGCCTTGTCGATGGTGCTGTTATCAAGATTAGCACGTGCTATTATGCTGTTGCGCGATGCCAATAACACAAAGCTGACTTTGGTTTGACAAAGGTACGTTCTGGGGGTGGCATGGCCCTCCACATTGCTGTAGAACTGATTTTGGCTGTATTTATACGTTGCCAAGCAGCAGCGCCCGTGAAGGAAGCGCGATGGCCCGTGGAAAGACATACGGCCTTGAGGTCATTGGTTTTTGTGGGAGCTTCAGTGTGGTTGGCGCGGGTTGCGAATTGAATCTGAAACCGGATCTTGGCAGCCCCGCTTTCGGCAGCCCCGCTTTTCGGGCACCATGCACTAGGCAGCTTTTAGAGTTCTTCTGAGATGATCTCTTGTTCTTCTGCATTTTTCGACAGGGCAAGATCAATCCGCCGTTGTAAGCCTTGTTTCTTCAAGCCGTCGGAGTGAAACACGTGGGCTGTTGAGCCACCGATATTGCTGCCTGTCGCCACGCGCCTGTGGCCTAGGCGAACCTCTTCCAACATCAACAACCACGTGGACAGCCACTACTGCCTCAATTACCACAACCAGCACAACCACCGCAACCACCACAACCACCACAACCACCACCACAACCACAACAACCACCGCAACCACAGCCACAGCAACCGCCACAACCGCCACAGCCACAGCTACAACAGCCACGGCTACAGCAACTGACACCACGACTACGACGGCAAGTGCTGCCGCTGCAACAACAACCTTGTCCTCATCGACGATGACCACTTTCCAGGCAGAATGGCCGATCAAGTCCTGATTGATAGCCGGCAGGGGTTGAATGACATGCTTGGCCAGTCGGGTCACTGTTGCCAGAAGCCAGCATGGTTTTGCGTGCAGCACGGCGAACATATTTTTTGGCTATGGGATGAGGGAATCAGCTGCTGTTCTAGAATTGTCATGCGCAAGATGGGATCGCCCCGAACATATTCACATGTTTACATATATTTCCATAGAACCTATGCCTGGCATTTGCAAGACAATTCACAATTTAATGCTCACAACACCCGCACACACTCACCCACTTATTTACCCGCCCGCCCGCCCATGCAGGCACGCACAACTTTTCAAAACTTGCGCGGAAACAGTGCAGTAGTTCCACTCGGTCTTCCAGCGAGGTTGATGTTACACATGTTGCAGGTGTAGATTATGCAACATGTACTTCGCAACGGGATGAAGCTCCAGTCACAAGAACACGCCGTAAGGGAACAAAAGCATCAGAGCAATGGCTGCATGTTGGGGACAGAGGGATAACTCCAGGAATTCTTTGCACATGCAGTTGAGACGATTTCAAATTGATCCAAGCAAGCAAAGTCTCATGGATTGCTTACCCCCCCCCCCCCCAAGGGGGGGTCCCCCCTTTTCTGAGAGCCCTGAGGTCCTACTAAGGCAGTACTAAGGCCTTACTAGCTGATCAGTGCTCATTTAGCACTCGGTAGCACCTCAAAACCAGTTTTGCCTTGCCTCAGGGAAACTTGTTGCTGCCAAGGGTGACAACACTACTTTCAATGCATCTCAAGCCGCAAGCATGCTTGTTGTTACAATAGGAGCTGAACATCAAATGCGCAGATGGCCTCGTTCCAGCAATTTTGAGGCACTACTGAGTCCTTACTGAGCCCTTACTGAGGCTTTACTGAGACCTTACTGAGGCCTTGTTGAGTTTAAGGCCTTACTGAGGCCTTAGTAAGGTCTCGAACTGGCAACTTGAGGTGTGTGACATTAGTGGTTGATGCGTACTCACCTACCTCCTCATGGCTAAGGTTCGTGCATTCCTTATTTCCCGCATTGAACATGCACACCTGCGCAAAACCAGTCATGCTCAGCAAGCTTAGTGAGAGGGTAAAATTGGGGGACCCCCCCCTAAAAAAAGGGTAAGTAATCCATGAAAGTCAAAAACATTTGAATTGGTTGCTCCAGGTTTGCTCATGTATCCCAAGCGATGGCTATGGGGATGAGGTAACCCTGTCAGAAAAATAAGAGCGCCGGTGAGGCCTTTGATCCAGGCGATCCGGTGCAAATCGAAGGATGTGCCGGGCCCAGAGAGAGAAAGAGGGAGGACCAGTCCAACTCCGCTTCGGAAGAATGTTGTGCGGAAGGACGTTTTGATGGTGCTTCAAGTGCAAATAAGGCACGTTTGCACAGCTCAAGTTGATGCATAGGTATGGACTGGTAGGTTTCCACAAGCTGTTGATCACAAGCGTGTTCGTTTGGTAGCTGGGTATGGCTCAAAAAACCGGTACCAAAATGGAACCCTGGTAAGTGGAAACATGGACCAAAACCTGCGTAACCCTAGCTGTTTAATTTTGAGCCACTGCCAGCTAGTTTCTGAGGCATGGACATCGTCCTGGCAGACAACTCCGTCTTTCTGGATCCAAATAACTTGGAGGCTGCAGAGACCGTCGTCCAGGAGGCTGGATGGTGTAAATTCGCTGAAGGAAACTGGTGAAAAGAAAGACGAACTCTGTTTCGGGGGTGTTCTTATTGGCTTTCATTTGCGTAAGAATGTGTTGTATTTTCCCCTGTTGGTTTTGAAGGGAACCTATCACTACTGGACATATGTTTATTTTTTCCAGGGGTCTTAACCAAATGGAAGTTGGTCGCTTGGACTGTTGGACCCGGGTTTGGGCATCAAATACTTCATGGCATGTGCCCCACTGGCATGAGGATTCGAGTTGGCGTGCCAGAAAAGATGGGCGAGCTTCTGGTTTCCTGTGAGAATAACAGGGTCAGTCCTTGTGAGGATGCTTTGAAGACCACAGCAGTTAAGGTTCGGCCCGGGCTCCTCCGGCTATTCCCTTGAAACAAGCTAGCACATCAGACGATACATGCCGTCAGAAGATGCTGACCCCATATTCATCAACCCCTTTTTATCAAAGCGGGGGTGTCGCTTGGTTTAGTGGAGAATCATCACTTTTGGAGGGGAAGACCCCCCTATTACTCAACTAAGGTTGATTCATGCGGGGTCAACATTAGGCCGGTATGATAACCATGCTGATTATGTACAAGTTCATCCTAATAGACCCACCACGACGTATGCAAGATGTTGCAAACAAATAGAGCCCATGCGCATGTCCTGCATCTGAGCTTCAGGGTTCAAGTAGATGCCACGATTCCCATCTTGGCTGAGCTATGTCCTGTACTTACCCATGCCATCTACATGGCTTGGTGTGACCGAACCCCTCAGACCTTTGGCGGGTGGCTTTCTCATTCCTACGCGCCACAGGGTGTAAGCATGAGACGTCGCTTCCAGGCGGTGGCGGAGGCTGCCGGAGAGGATGTGCAGCCGTCCAACGTCCAGGTGGGTCGCTGGTGGGCCGCTGGCGGTGGGAGTGAAGGTCTAGGCGAAGAACAAAAAAGAGAAAAAAGCTGAATTGGGTCAATGTCTGTTGGGGGTGGACCTTCTTTAGCAAACAGGAAGCCAAAGGGATATCAACAAGCAATTGGCACCCTGACTTTGTAGCCTAGCTGCCGTCTGAAGCCCTGCCTTGGCTTTGACAGCTGCCAAGACACGCATGCGCAGATTCACAGAGAGGTCTAGATATGGGCCTCCCTTCAAAAACATCCGGGGTACCATCTCACCCCTTGGAATATGTTTCTGGGATATGTGTTAGATTCAAATTTTGAGGGGCGGTGGCTTCGGGTTACCCTTGGTTGTTTTGCAAAATTCATGACAACCCGTTGGCCCCAGAAACAACCAGGGGTGGCTGTACCCCGGAAGAATTCCGAGGGTGAGAATGACCCCAATACTTGGTTGACAAAGGCCCGTGAATGTTAGATGGTTGATCTAGAGTGTGAGATTGATTGCGATTATGCTGTCTAACGCTTGTCCCTTGACATGTATTCCACGCAACATGCTCGTACAAGGAAGCGCTTTACTTCAAAGCCAACGATCCCTGAGGGAGGCGTTTTCTCCTGAGAAGACACACCCATAAATAGAACATCAAGATGCGGAAAAACCCAAAAAAACAATTGCCGTTTTCAAAAACGTTTCCTGTTTGTATTTCCGGCGGCAGTTTGTGCATGATTGTTGCATTTTGTTTGTTCGCGGTTGTGTGGCAAGACCTGCGATTCTGGCAACCTTGCCGCAATGTCGGCGACACTTCACGCAATACTGGCAACAATTCCCGGAAATCAAAATGGAGTCAATGCCGTCGACTGAGTACTATTCCCTTGAGCTTCAGCAGTCCATATTTTTTGTGATTCCGGCAAATTTTGGTGACTTTGGCTGAAATTTGCTGAAACCTCAGCCGAAAGAGCACATATTTTAGAGTTGAGATGATGAAACAGGCGTTGAAGGCATTTGAATTCTCGAAAGCAAGGAACACAAGTCTTGGCCTGCCAAAACAATTAAAAACGGAGCTGAGCAAACATCTCCAAGTTCGGTATTTGTTGTTTCTCCCAGGGTGCGTGACCCCTCATTCACCCTCCTTTCAGCAGCTAAGTTCAACCCTTTGTACCCATCTTCTTTTTTCGGACATGTTCCAACTGCTTTGTGGTAGGGTTTCTGGTTGCCAGCGTCCGCTCGACATTTGCCAGGTTTCATTCCAGACCAGGAGCTGTGGAGATGCGCGGCGCTTGCAAGCGGGGGCTTTGCTCGCGGCAGTCTTCGCACCCTGGCAAGGTCTGTGCGCCGGTTTCAAACCTGTGGCTCAAGACCCTTGATGGGATAGTCATGATCATCGAAACGCTTTTCTTGGCAACTCATTGAGGCTTTGCCCCGAAAAAGCGGACATAGGTCACGAGTCTATGTCAAACCCCACATGGCAGTCAATGACATTTGGTCCAATGCTGCATCCTGTCTCACTCGCAAGTGTCAAGACCCATCCCAGTCGGATGTCTCTTTTTTCCAAAGGTCCGACATGGCTTGTCTTCTTTTGGGGGTACCGGTTTTAACGGGAAACCAAAAGAAAAACACCATTCTGACGGCCCCCACACAACCCCACCAAAGAAAACAACAACGGGACACGCCTTCGAACACCTGGCATCCAAACCGCCCCCATTTCGGGGGACTCCGACTGGCGAGTTCTTCGAGCGAGCGCTTGAGGTGATTGTGCTGCCTAGCGCCGAGCTGCCGGTGATGCAGCGCGTAAGCCAGCGAATTGAGCAGACCTCCCCGGAGGCTGTGACTTGGCGATAGGTCCATTGATGGATTAGATTGTTCAAAGCGAATCGACCTTTTGACCTTTTGGTTTTCCCATTCTGGTCCATCTTTTAGTAGAGGTGCCAAAAGGTTAACCTTTTAGTTCTGGGTCCTTTGGGCAACTTGAGTTGATGGATTCGATTGTTGCATGTGTCCATTTTACCATTGATCCTTGCGAAGTGCCATGACTTGCTGCACTTTCCGGAAGTAGGCATCGTTGGCTGCAGGTTGCTGGGTCCAAAAGCGTTTGGAGTTGTGGCCACGGATCGTTGATTCGGTTCCCTCCTGAGAGGCTCGACCAGGACCGAGCGTCAATGGCCATTCGGTGAACAGCCAGCTGGTGGTGCCAATCATCTGAGCGAGTTTTAGATAGCAGTCATGACTTGGACCATGTCCCATTTTTCAACCATTGGAGCAATGGGAGCCAGATAACTAGCGAGCATAGACCCGATCATACATGGAACCCGGCACTTCACTTACACAGTTGTATCCGGTGCATCGAGTTTCATTGCGGACATGTGGGTGGCTCAAAGTCAAAGAGCTAGGGTTACGTTAGTCTTTGGACCCATTTACCAAGGTGCCATTTTGGTACATTTATTTGAGCCACAGCCACATCCTTGCAGAACAAACATGCGCTTCGCATGGTTCACTTCCATCCCTTGGTTCCTTTGGATGAGCTTTGCAACCCTCGCTTGCCCTTCCTTGTCTTGACTGCTATTGGGTTGGATCTTTAGACTTTAACTTTTTGGGAAATAAGGTGTTTTCCACTAAAACACAAAAAGTTAAACTTTTTGCAGGGGGGTCAACAGCAACCAAGTTGTGGCACAGATCTTTTGGAGGTGACAAGGGGACACGTGCCCCCCCATGAACACAGGTTGCATCAGGCCACCGGAGCCTGGTCCCGTTGTCTCGAGGCGACGGTCATCTTCAACAACGCTCTTCAGAAGCAGGAGCCATTCACGGCGGTGCAGGCGCGAGCCGGGGGTCGGGCTGGGGGCTGGGGGCCGATTTCGTGCGGATCTAAAAAACGCGAAGCCGCGGATTTCCGTGGCATTTCCACGTCTACGGAGGGAAGTGGAAGCATACGTACATGCAGATATGCTTGGTGAGAAGCAGTCGGTATAGATTGTAACCTGTACAGCCTGTACATGTAGCTGCACGATCACATCATAGTTGGTTTAGGCTTGTAGCGTTGGTAGCTTGGATTGGATGGCTCGCTTAGCAGACAACTGCCAGAACATATTGAAGGGTCAAATTTTAAAGCCGGTGTTTCAGCGTTTCCATTCAATGTGTGCCTGTGTGCTTGGATGTCCGCGGGCTCTTTGACCAGCGGCGACCTCCTCGAAACAGAAAACACATACAACATGTGCTAAGGATCTTCGTACAACGCGAGCAACACGCAGCCCGGGAGTTGGCAATGTTTTGCTTGTGTACTCGCTTCGGGTAAATACACAGTTCCCCTTCTTTGGAAGTCCGAGTAGCCATTGTATGACATTCGGGGGTCCTGCTCCTGGGCTTGCCTTTCATGAAAGATCATGAAAGTTGCCAATTGGGTAAGGCAGGGACGGAGGGAGAGAGGGAGTTTGTCAGCCTGCGTTTGTGTTTGTCATTGTTTGGGTGCCTCTTTGGTGTTTCGCTTGTCGCTAGGGCCAGACCGGGCACCTGCAAGAAGGTTTGGATGTTTAGCAACTCGCGGCCTCGAGAGAAACAGGGCCCTCCATGTTGCGCATCCTGCTAAAATCCCTAGCTCCTAGGCCATCAGATCCATGTTGTTCGAAGTTTGCCCTGAAGTAATTCGCCTGCTAGCCGCCGTCTTGGTGTGACCACGTCATTGCGAGTTGTGTTTCATGCTATCCTTTGAGACCTGCAGATCAGTTGCTCCATGCATGTGACCCTTTTGCAGTTGCCTTCCGGCCAGGCTGAGGTGCGAACATTTATGGCGGCAGCCGGGGGCAAAGTGCGCGATGGATGCGAATGTTGCAGAAAGGGCCGGAATGA